ACCGTCTACGAGTGGCTGGAAAGCTGGGGGGTCCCGAAACATATGTGCTGTGTTCCGGCAAGTGTTGTTTTAAGGTTGGCAATGCAGAGTGACGGAATCTGGTATGACTCGGCTTTCTTGTTGTGGTTGATAGAAGTGTCTTTATGTATTAAGGTCTTTGAAGCACGTGGAGTAGACTCTTGGTGATAGAGAAGTGTATAGAAATTTCGCGATGTACCAGTGCTGGAGTCCTTGAAGGCGCCATATACGCCTTGCTTTCTAGAACACAAGATAGTTTTTTTTTATTTCTTCAACAGCAAGTGTTTAATGACGGCGCTGTTTATCAATGACTGCAGAGTCGTCGTCAATACCATAACTTTCTTTTACTAACAAAATTGTTGCAATTTAAAGTACCTGAAGAAGGAAAAAAACTCAATAAACGTATAGGTCTGTTCATCCTTCTTGTTTATATTAAACTCGTGTGATTTTATTTTCGTAGCTAGATTAACTAACTAAACTAATTAAATGGCTTACGGAACCTGGAGGTTCATCACCGAATTAACCAAAGCCCTCCACCGGTCCCTGTCCTGGGCCAACAAAATCCAGTCTCCTTCAACTCCTATCTCCCATAGATCCCGCCTGAGATTATCCTCCCATCTACGTCTAGGTCTCCCCAGCGGTCTCTTCCCTTCAGGTTTCCCAACCAATACCCGGTGCACACCTCTTGTCCCATCCATGCGCGCTACATGCCCAGCCCATCTCATTCTTCTCGACTTAATCACCCTGACAATATTGGGGGAGGAGTACAGATTTTTAAGCTCATCATTATGCAGTTTTCTCCATAGCGAGATTGCCAAATTAAACATAAATGTTGGCCCGTGTTTCACAATTACCGTTCGTTTTGTTTTTCTTTAACTAATTTTGGACAAGCTTTCGTAGGAAGGCCTTAAGTTGGTACAAATTTCGTTTGACATAAGCCGTTCTTACCGAACTCCAAAATTATTTGCCCTATATAGCTGTATATTTTGCATTAGATTTCGTAACCAATTTCAGTTTATGCATTTTTAAAAATTCCCTACATCCGATATCTTCCTGCAAGAGAAATTTACGATGAATGTTTCATCGCAGTCACCGTCGAAAAATAATCATTACGCAGATGATGTAACGTATAAACCTCGACGTATCAGGCAAATACCCCGCAAAACTTGAGCATGATTCAGCCGTTAAATTGATCGTGCTTTAGTAGATATGAACTATGAATTCGATCCTAGGTCTGTGTAGTGACGTTTCACTTGCACTGACCAACATCGCGTTGCTTAGGTGGCAACACCCCTCCCAAAAAAAGAGTGGATAAATGGACTGATTCTCTGCTGTAGTGTATTCACAGAAACAGAACACACATCCGTGCATTTTTCCTTGATCTCGTGCGAGCACTTCTAAGCAAAGCAAACATATCAGACACATATGAACATAAAGTCAGCGGTAAATACGTAACAAATGTTGTGGAAGATCGATCTAAGTCTTTAACTCCAAATTAAATATTTTGATTTTAAAGTACATGGGTTATTTTACCACGAAAAAAAAGATTCACATTATTTTTTTAGTGTGGGAATTATTTCTCCCGGTTTACTGAAGTGTTAACAGGAGGAATTGTAAACAGCAAAACAGCGCTCACTGCTCTTGCAGCTGTCTGTGGGTTACCCCAAGTTCAGGTGATGCGTTTCAACTCTACAGTGCTGACGAATTTTTCCTTCTTGCTTATATGTGTTATATCAGCGATTGTCAAATGCAGTCGCCAGTTACTTGACTAACACGAAAAAGTAAAACAAAACAAAAAACACTTAGATTTTTGATAATACCACTTCTTGTTTCAGTTATTGGAACCAAACTGTTGCTCGGAACTGAATGTCGGCCACGGATAATTTTACTTTACTTTAGAACATATTCTGTAATAAGTTATCTGTTGATAGAACCCGAGATTTCACACAGAAACCCACCGATGGAGCCAGTTCAGATAATTCGTCATTACCGAAACCTATTTTCTGAAATTCTGTTTTCACACTATCCTCCCATTGCTGCCTTGTTCTAACACGTTGTTGGTTAACACAAAACCCGTCTACACTTAATCACAGATCTTAGTTTTCGTGGAACGTACCACTCGCCTCCTTTGGGTGCGAGTTTAAGAACGCGTGAGTGTTTACCTTCAATATCGTATGTGTCTTTTTAAATCTTTCTTGATTTCTAGTATCATTTCTTGCTTGAAGTCTGTGCAACCAATGAGGGTAGTAAGAAAGACTCAAGAATCTGTCTGACCTTTTGTGGAAAGGCGTTGCCAGTAGCTCATGTATGCCGTCGAATGATATGGTGTGAGATTTCATGTTCTCATGGCAGCGAGTATGAAGATAACTACCCAGGTGTCCACTGCATCGATCGTCAGAGTGATGAGTATTGATGATTGAAGCAGCAAACACCACTTTGATGCTCGTAACTTCTACCAAACTACACAGCGCAACATTCCAGAAGACAGTCATCTGAATGATGTGTTTAACAGTCGTGGCCAAATTTAAAGAATCATCCCTGCATTTGCCTGCAGGGATTGAGTTAAGCCACGAAACCGCGTCAGAATATCCGTGCTGTGGGCCGAGAATCGTGCCCGGGACCTCCCAGATACATAGCAGAAGTACTCTGACCACTCGGCCGCTGTTTTCGGTAATTGTAACATGTAAGAGAGATTTGAGGTTCTGACGGCGGCGAGTATGAAGATGACTGTCTTCTGGGCGATTATGATCGCCCCGATAATGGAGGCAGCAAACGTATTTGAAACGTCGATAAACTTCTGCCATACTACACGGCTCAACAATCCATAAATTTATATTTGTGACATATTTGTCTTTTGTTTTCATATTGCTATCTGGAATATGAACTCATAGTAAGGTAAACAATGCGCTGTGATGTTCGTTGCGTCGTTGGCTGCAAACTATGTAGTGGCGTGATTCATTTTCTATCCTTGTCACGTTTTGTGATGTCTTTTCTACCTAAGCTGTTTGCGGCAGCCAATATCTGCTGCTGTTTGGCATTCAGACACGCAGTCGGGCTCTGAACATCGTGGTGATTGGTAGAAGTAGGTTTCGAATGGGTTAGTGTGTTGGAATAAAATAAAATCAAATCGGTTCAGTTTAAAGGGAACGCCTTGCAATTTTTGGTTTGTCAAAAGTTTGTTTTCCTACACATCAGCGATGGTTGAGAAAATCTTGGAAGAAGTGCAAGGGTCTGAGGCAGAGTGTTGTAAGTTTTTTATTTCATTTTGGATTTATTGTTTACCTTCGCCGACATTAGTTGTGTGTAATTAATTGTATTGGCGTACGTTTGGAATAACATGGGTAGGATTGTCTTTGCCAGATTTCGGTGAAATGCACTGTTGCATTTTTTTATTGAATTTTATTTGTAGAATAACTGTAAGCGCAGTTGCTCCAAATGATTGTTGTATAAGTGTATAGGAGTAATTAACAGAACTCCAGATGAAATGAAAATTACACTTGAAATTTGGTAATATTGAAGAAACGTGAAAAGTGGAGCTGAGGTACAATCTTTACCCTTCTACCCCATTGCGTGTGTTGAAGATAAAGTTGTTCCTGGTCCCAACGTAGAGTCATTTATGGGGCCTGGAGGTGTAGCTGTACGCAGTGCAAACAATAAGACTGGTTCACAATATTACAGCAATTATAATTACACAGGAAATGTATAATAAAAATGCATATTTGAATCGTCAATAATTGCCAGAGACAGCTATAATTAAGCTATCATTAGACCTTTGGAAGACTTTTTTCCTCCCCACCACCAGTGTTTGTGATCGTGGTTGAATTGGAGTTACTTGTTATGTACATTTCTGTTAAGGATGGTGCACTAACTTCATCATTCTAAACTGGTATAAAATAAAATGCTGTCTTGGTGAAATTATTATGTTTATATTTTTGGATAAGTGTGGCCGCAGTATAAGCTGAGTATGTGTGTAGCACATCAGAAAATTTGTAAAAAGAAAAACTATAATTTTATAAAATTACTACATTTAACTGGTTGATGTGGTTGTCTGGATTTTGATGCTGTGTGGTACTGAAGATATCATTTTGCTGAAATGATGGTGACTACTTGCAAGACCTCACTGCATAACTACCCAGATCACAATAGGTATCTTCACCCCTATGAGCACCTCAAATCTCATTATTTAACTGGAATTTAAACCTATCTCTAGTATGAAAAAATATTGAGAAATATATTGTTATCAAGAGATATTGAAACTGAAAATTTTTGTCAGATTTATTAAAATCTGCCATTTCGATAATTTCGTATTTGACTGGCATTTCACTCTTAACCAAGTCCATGTCCAAGTAAACATTGTTACCCTATCTCACAAATATAGTATTGTACTCATTACATTATTTTATTCTTCTGATTGGTCATCAATATAACAGACAGCAGGATGTATTACAGGTGATGATCAGTGAATCTGTTTCAATCTTTTTAGATTACCATTAAATTTGTGTTGTTAGAAATGGGGTTTATTCCCTGGATCATTGTGGTACTTACCAGTTTCATGTAATGTTTACAACACTGTCTGTGAGTTTTGTACTAAAAGTATTAAAATTTGTGTGATAAATCATGAAGACCCATCGAAGACAAACATTTAGAAACAGCAGATAATTATGTTAGGTTAGGTTTATGAGCATGACATTTTCTTTAAGCATGTTGAGCAGTTTGGCTTGTTCAAGAAGCACAAAATGGACAGTATTAATTTCAGTGTTTCAGTTGTTACTTCCTACATTTTAAAATATTTCTATATTTTATTACATATCCACTAATTAGTTAAACTTGTAGGATTTGAGGTTCTCATGGTAATGAATATGAATATGACTGTCTACTGGACTCTTGCACCGTATACTGTAGTAAAAATTTAGCAACGTTTCAGAGGTCCTTGCTATCTTAATGTTTATTATTATTTTGGTTTGATTTGATTTGTTGTTCAGGTGAGGTTCTGTCTGCTCTGCGAGGGGACAATAAGACAATGGTGACCGGTACTAATGAATGCCATAATAGTGTGCAGCAACGTAAGGAGGAGGCGCGTCGCAAGCGCAGGAAGAAGAAAAGGACAGGCTCCAGCCTTGTGTCTTCCTGTTTTCAAGGTAGAGATAAAGTGTTATTGCTACTGTTTAATTGATGGCCATATTTTTGCATTGTGTGCACAGTTCCCAAACAGATTTTATAACCGCCACGGAGGTCTAGCGGTTAGAACGCAGGGCTTGTAATACTGGGGTCCCGGTTTCAAATTCCGGTGGTGCTCAGATTTACAACTTGTGTTGGGTAAGGCCGTGGTCCAGGCATCACGGAGTTTTCCTCTGGGGTTTCCCCGTGGCATCCCAACAATTACTCCACTCTCCTCATCATCTTGCAAAAAGGGGGTCACAGCAGGAGCGTTAAATGTCGCAGTCCCAGTCGAACCCATGTACTGATGGGTCGTGAATCCTGCTAAGCACCAATGCACACCATGCTGAATAGTGTGTACTGGATAGGAGAAAACAACAGATTTTATAGTGCAGAAGATCTGGGAGCCAGAATAGCTCAGTCAGTATAGTTACTGGGGTCCTTTCCTGGGCGTAAAGCGCAGCCAGGGTGTGACGCTGACCACTTAACCCATATCTAGTGCTGAGGTTAAGAATGAGTTTAAGCTGTACCTGCTGTCTCCCCATCTGCCTACATGGCATGTAGTGGGACAACTTTCATATACTGTTCACAAATAACAGAATTTACATATGTTTAAAAAAACATGAAATATGTTAGGACTGCTTTTGAAGTGATGAGTGCAATGATGATTTTGAATGCCCCAGAAAATTACAGAACTCCTGTTGGGACATGAACTTACGCATTGTGAGCTGGCAGACACCCCCCCCCCCCCCCCCCCCCTTGTAGTTCCTCTATCTTATAGTAGACTGCCACCAAACTAATATTTTCGAGTGCTGAGCTATAGTAATACATGTTTGTAATAGAAAATTGTGTGATTACTAGTTTTATTGTCGTAATAATTATTGTAGTAGTAGTCATAGTCGTAGTCTTTGCCCTTCTTCATCTGTTATTCTTTTTTGTCAGAACTATTCTTGCTGTGTTGACACATGTTGTAGTCCTAATGTGAAAGTAAAGATGTATTCCATGCCCCTTACCAGTAGAGGATTGAATGGGAAGTCATGTAGCAATCTGTGATGAGTAATTGGTCAGTTACAAAACCCATTGGCTATGCTTCATTGTGTACAGTGGGTGGCAAGTGGTAAGGAGTTAAGGTGACCACAGAAACTAGAGTTTTTTTTATGCAGATGCACATAAATATGCAGTACCTGCACCTTGCTTTTAAGTTCAGACTTTGTCTGTCTTGAAATTGTCTTCTCAAAAGAAGCCCTGAGGAGAGGCATCTTTAAACAAAGGACAGAATGAAGGTTGAAATTTGACTGGTGTTTGTTAACTTTGCTGCTTGTCTTTCCATCACATGTTGGTCTGTCTCTCTCTAATATCTTCATTTTCAAGGTCACTGTGACATTCAGCTGTAGTGGCTCTTAACTGTCTGATAGTACACATGACCCTGGTAACTTTTCATTTCCTGTGTTCTGTTAACAGACATTACATCTTGTAAACACTCTTCCATTGATAGCTGAGGAAGACATGTTACTGAGGTAGACCATGGAAACATAGGCAGTGTTGATGTATGGCTTGAATTTTGTGGGCTTGTATTTTTAAATGTTGGCTTCTAATTTGTGTTCCCTTACTGGTTTCAGAACTGTATAGGTTGACTGGGGAGGTGCTCGGAGAGGGGGCATACGCATCTGTCCAGACTTGTGTTAATATCTGGACAGACCTAGAGTACGCTGTGAAAATCATCGACAAAATTCCGCGTCATAGTCGCGGCCGAGTGTTCAAGGAGGTGGAGACTTTTCATCACTGTCAAGGTCATCCCAACATTATTCAGCTTATAGAGTTCTTTGAGGATGAAGAAAGGTAATATTTGTGTGTGTGCGCAAAAGATGTGTGATAGCTTTAGGTTATGTACTATGTATATCTTAATATAACGTGTGCTTGAAGAAGGTATTGTCTTGGAGGAGTAATATTACATATTCACCTTTTGTTATTTTATGTTGGTAAGAATGCAGATGGATGGTGTTCGAGAACGGTTCTGAGGAGAACATTCAGATGGAAGGTGGATAAAATGGCACAAGGCTTGAGAAAATTTTATAATGAGGATCTTTTTATTTTGTTGGTCTCCGAATGTCTCTGGTGATGTTAATATTTTCTTCATTTTTGACGTCATCTGTTATCTTTTTTGTGTCTGAAAAACTTAATGTAAAGGGTGGATTTTGGTTCATGTTTAGGTAAAAAGGGGCGAGACACCTATTCTGTTGGATATAGTACACTAAACTGTTTCCTTACTTTTTTATACTTTTAAAAAAAAGGATACTGAATGAAGTACAAAACAAAGAAAATAGTTTGTAGGTTTTTACTCTTCATCAAATATAATTAGTATGGTCAAAGATAAGGTGGCAGGGCATTTGGCATTCATGGGGAAGATTGGATTGGAAATGTCTGAAGGGAATGGATAATTAAGAAGACCTTGGTGTAGATGGGAGGATGATATTATTTGAGAGGTTATTGACTGGATTCATTTAGATCCTTTTAGGGTCTTATAGTAACATGGTATTGAACCTTCTGGTTCTGTGAAAGGTAGGAATTTCTTTATTAGCTTCTGATGAAGTAAAATAAAAAAAAATGTGGTGAGGCATTTAAAATGAATGGATATCATAACAGCCCCAAGAGTATGTATTGAATGAATATTACAAAATACTTCAAAAGCCTTGATGCGGATGCATTGAAAGGAAAAATGTTGAAACAATTCATGGTTTCTTGAATACTGTATGTCTTGATGTGAAATCCATTTTTACAATTTAAAACTTTGGAAGTTTTTCATTATAACATATAAATATGTGTGTGTCATTGATTTATAATCTCTGTCCCATATTTTTGAAGAGTTGCTGTGCACTAGTCTGATACATGAATTAGCAGTCGGTAACTATAAATGATGTTCAAGCAGTCGCTAATTTTCTTTGTTTCAGGTTTTATCTAGTGTTTGAAAAAGTGAATGGTGGGCCTCTTCTGACCCGCATCCAGGAACACATCCACTTCACTGAGCGAGAAGCAAGTCAGATCATTAGAGATCTGGCCAGTGCACTGCAGTTTCTGCATGTCAAAGGTGAGTTTGTTGTTTTACTTAAAGACTGTCTGTTTAGTCTTCATAGACTCTCTGGCTAAATGTGTGCTTAATGTTTAGAATCACTGATTTTAAACTTTCATAGTGATTTTTTGTTAATATTATATGAGGGGCAGTCAAAAAGTTCCCGGAATTGTGGTATAGCACTGTAATGGTAGGACATATGGCATCGCTTACCTAATCACCTTCAAAGTAGGACCCTTGCGCATTCGACACATCGCTGGTTGTGCAGCAATTCCTCGCCGAGAAAAGCACTCCCGTCATCACCCAACCACCATACTCTCCAGATCTCGCTCCGAGTGACTTCTGGCTGTTCCTTACTCTGAAAATGGGCCTCAAAGGGACGCGTTTCACAACCATGGAGGACATCAAATCAAATGTGACGGCCAAACTCCGGAAGATTCCAAACGAAGAATTCCGCCGGTGCTTCCAACAATGGTAGGATCGATGGAGCAAGTGTGTGTGCGCAAGGGTCCTACTTTGAAGGTGATTAGGTAAGCGTTGCCATATGTCCTACCATTACAGTGCTATACCACAATTCCAGGAACTTTTTGACTGCCCTACGTACTACTTTAAGGTGCTGGCACCGTGTGGAAGTCGGCTGCATTGTCACAGTGCCAGCGCCTGAAAGTATCAGAATCATTGCCTTCAGTGGCTTGGAGTATTACAGCAAAGTAATAATAGTAAATTGGTAAATTTCTATATAAAATTAACTAGCATTTCTCCAAAACAGGAAACATAAGAATTGAACATCATTTTATTCATATCTGGAAACTTGTCACAAGAAAGTTATGGGTGTTTCTTCTTCTTCTTCCTTGCTGTTTTATTATTCCATTTTTGAATTTTTTGATTTCAGGTATCGCTCACAGGGATCTGAAGCCGGAGAATATCCTTTGTGTTTACCCTGATAAGTTGAGTCCAGTGAAAATCTGTGACTTTGACTTGAGCTCAGGGATTAAGTTCAACTCAAACCTGGCTTCTCCCCTCTCGACACCACAGCTACTTACTCCAGTAAGTTCATTTTGCAAATCTTATATTGGCCTTATAACGTGCCAATAAATATAATGTATCATTGGCATCCGGTAGAATCATTCTAGTGCATGCGATTCCAGATGAAATATTAGATGATAGTTATGAATGATCAGTCTGGTAGGGACCTCTTTTAATGTGTTTCATGTGAGACGTTCAGGCATTTGAATGGAGGATTTATATTATTCAAAACTTAATGAAAACCATGCTTGTGTGGAGCAGAGTCCTACAGAAGCTACTGGTATTGTCAGCTTGTCAAAAAATTCCCTGCCTCTTAAGGAACCTGCAAGTTTGTTACCATGTTCACAGGAACTTGGCATTGGTCTTTTTCCTATGCCAGGTGAACTTGATCTGCACCTTCCAACCTTGTGTTCGTCAGAGGTGTTTTAATATTATCCTACCATTGTGCCTAGGTCTTCCCTTCAGACTTTCAAACATTTATCTGCTCCTTATATGCCCAGCCAAACTCATCCTCCTTGATTTGATAATTTTAACAATATTTGGTGAGAGTACACATATGAAGATCAAGTGCCATAAAATGGGAGGCCTTCTTTTTGTATTCACATCATACGTATACTGTTCATGTACCATGCAGCGAATGTAATTGTGGAATTATAAAAGTATATGCAGATATCTCTTATTTATTTCAGGTTGGTAGTGCAGAATTTATGGCTCCTGAAGTTGTAGAGGCATTTATTGGTGAATCTACGTCATATGATAAGAGGTGTGATCTCTGGTCACTGGGAGTGATTATGTATATTTTGCTTTGTGGTTATCCACCCTTCTATGGCAGCTGTGGGTCTGACTGTGGGTGGGAAAGAGGAGAAAACTGCCAAGCATGTCAGGTAATAAAATGTTTTTTAATCTCTATCTTCTGTATGTAAATGCAGTTTAACTACAAGCACAATACAAATCAAGTAGCACTTGAGTTGAAGTACAGATATTTGTATTGTACCAATCATTTTTAGTCACGATAGTTTTTTTACATGTGCATTTCTTATGAGATTGTCTGTGTTTAGTCAAAAATGTCGCATTTGGTCCATCCTTCTCACATCACTATAAACGGTAGGTTTTGCAAGAGGACGGAGACAGATTCCAGTCTCCAAAACTGATTTAATCATATTAAGATGATGGATAATACCAATGAACTGTATTTTAATTCATAATGTTTATGGATTCATTAGGAGCTGCTGTTCACAAGCATCCAAGAAGGTTGTTATGATTTTCCTGATCGTGAATGGGCAGATATCTCGGAAGAAGCCAAGGACCTAATCCGTTCATTGCTTGTGAAGGAAGCGAGCCGCCGTCTGTCTGCAGAGTGTGTGCTGACTCACCCCTGGATGTCTCCCAACTCATCTGGTGCCACCCTGACAGCACGATCCCTGGTTACTCCTCATGTCATCAGGAGGTAAGCGATCTTGGCAGCAGCTCCAAGTAATGACACATAACCAGTTTGCCATTGAGCAACGCTTCTCAATAAATGTATTTGGACGTGATTGTATGTATAGTTTGAAATTGTTAGATAGTATAACTCTTTCTCAAGCAGCGTAATTAACCCGTTAATTGAAAGAATTTTTTTTCCTTTGTTTATGTGTAGTTCTTAACATGGTTCCCAAGGTCATTGTTCTTTTTCGTTATACCCTAGTGCAGTGGTCCCCAACCTTTTTGTGCCTACGGGCACATTTGAGTGTTTGACGGGTTGTCAACCTTTTTATACCTACCGCCCACTTTTGTATCTTTGTTGATGGTAAAATTTCCTTACCGCCCACCAGTGCCGCACGTACTGCCCACCACCATGAAAGAGGTACAGCTCGAAGACTGAGTGATGGCCAGTGGTAAGCCCCGCCCTTGTTATGCACACTAAAGTCGTGCCTTTGGCTACGGAGCTCATTCGTTGCTCCCTCATCCACGAGTATACTTCGAGAAGTGTCCGGTGAATTATTACCTATATTCAAAGTTTAGAGATGGAATTCAAAAGTAAATTGCAAAAGCATATTTTAAAAAAGTCAAACTCGCGAAGTAGTTAGCAATGTATTCGATATATGGAGGAAGAATAAAATTTGTAACAACGGACAAAAAACCCCACCGCCCACCATGAAAACTTGAATCGCCCACTAGTGGTTTATGAGATCGTGGCTGGCACCAACCAATTAACAAAGCCAAATTTTCTTTTCTCTGGACAGATAAGATATGGACACCAAATAATACACAAAACAACACAACGTTTAATGATACAAGAAACCATGCAATCAAAAGTACGTAGTTTTATAAGTACAATTATTATTACTCAAGTGGGAAGTTAGTGTGATGTTTGGCACTGCAATTATCAGCATTTTTTTTTCAAATTTGGGAGTGTAGGATGATGTTGCTGCTCGCAAACAATCGTCAAGATGGGCGTCAGTAAGTCAAGATCTGTGCTTTGATTGTATAATGTTCATGGTTGAATGGCCTTCATTATTCAGTATAACCTCTTTCCGTAACAACGCGGGCACCCAAAAAAAGGGCTTAGCACCGCGTTGGGGACCACTGCCCTAGTGTAATGGATATACATATTTCTTATTTTACTGTTCTATGCACGTTCATATACACGCATTCCAGTCTTCCTGAAATACTCTTGTTATTAATTCTTTGTTCCAATAGTTATTGGTACAGCCTCATTTTGCCTTTCTATTCTTTTCTTCATGGTTGTAGAAGACTTCAAATGTGGAAAAAGTTTTATTCTTCAGTATTGTGTGTATCTTGTCCCGCGCCGTAGCCGCACGGTCTGAGGCATCATGCTTCGGACCGGCGATACGGAATGCGCGCTGGTTCGAGTCTCGGGGAGAAGAAATTTTCTCATGAGCTTTCGACCAGTGTATGGGACCGGTGCCAACCCAGCGTCGTGAGGAAATTGGGGAGCTACAATGAGTAGCGTAATCCGGTCATGAAAACTAGCAATGGCTGGGGGTTCGTCGTGCTGACCACACGTCACCCTATATCTGGTTGGATGATCGTTCACCTCTGCTTAGGCATGTGAACGTGAGGCCAGCAGTCAAGCTAGTCGGCTTTGGCTCTCTGGAGCTGTTACGCCACGGATTTAATTTTTAAATTGATTGTATCACTATGTAACACTATTAATAAAGGGATATAGACAAAACATGCTAATTATTACACAACTGTTTAATTAGGTATTCGATGAATTGGCAAATTGTTGTTTTGAACATGCTCCTGGCATTTGTGCAGTAATATGCGTAACCCTGAAACTTAACACATTACTGCATTTGTGTAGTTAAGGGTTATGCAGACTGTCATTAAATGGAAGAAAATGGGATGGTTTTATGGTAACTTAGTTGTCTAAACACACATGCAAACCGCCCACCCTCTACCCCCATTCCCAAACAATGTGGGGCAGTTTTCCTGTGGCTCCACTTCAAATATCGTGATAAGAGAAACTATGGTTGAGTATTAACCCTTTGCTATGCCTTTCACTCTACTTGGTAAACAGAAATGTCCCCAGCTGTATTTAATGTACTAAAATTTGATGTAGAAGTGGTCTCAGAGTGTCAGGATACTGGGAACGACCCGTTCTTCAAGTGCCTGAGCACTGCGAGTCCCAACTTACCGTTGGCTTGATCTATAGACATTCGTTAGGACTCCTTGGACGAGGGATCGGCCCGTCGCAAGGCCTCTACCTGTACACAGGACGGCAAAACACAGAAAAACGCGGACAAACATCCATGGTTTGTGGGATTCGAACCCACGGTCAAAGCGACCAAGCAACACAAGGCCCACGCGTCAGACTGTGCGGCCACTGCAGACCCCGTCAGGATACAATTATATTATATGTTCAGCAAATGTTTAATTTGTATGTCATTGTCACACACTGGTGTAAGAACTGCTGTTCCTAAGAGCTACAGTCACCTTTGATTGAAGTTTGGTTTAAAACTGTGCTAATTTTCTCTTCCAGGAATAACAGTGCTCGTGAGTTATCTGCATTTGCAGAAAGTGCAATGGCTGTGAATCGTGTTGTGTTGCAACACTTCAGTATGAACCTTGAGCTTGGTTGTACTGAGACTCCATCTTTGTTTGAGCCTTCTGTAGTCCTGGATCCAGGTTTAAATAACAGAGCTACTGAAGGCACAGCCTTATTTGGTCTTTCTCCTCCAAGTGAATCAAGGTTGATCCAACGCCGCAAAGCTCAAAGTCTCACCAAGAAATGTAACAGCGACGAGTTATTAAAAATGGAGGATAATAATATATTGGGCAACCACATCACAGCCAATTCCACCAATAAAATTGATTCTACATCTGTTACCACAACCCTAGAAGGTAAGAAGCTAGGGAATCTTCTTGTCGTCGCTTCCTCACCCACATCTACTCCAGCACCTGTAGTTGTGGTGGCATCTCCTAGTGGCTGAAATCAGAAATGAATTTGTGCCAGCGTGCGTACCTGATTTATTAATTATAATTTCTTCACAATTATTTCATGTTTTTTTTATTGCAAAAACTATTAAGTAAGTGTAAGCGCCAGACTGAGATTTTAGAGGTGTCTGTCTAGGTAAGGTAGGCTTTTTAAAAGACTTCTAGACCTCTGGTGTGCTGTTTGAGAACAGGCAAGTCTGTTTGGTGGCTTATTATTTTTGTTGTACTGAGAGAACCTCCGTGATTTGTTGAGTAAATAAGAGCGGAGAGAAAGACTGAGTAGTACTGGAAACTACAATTCAGTATTTGAATCCCTTTGAAGTGCATGATGGTGTACATCAGTTTTTGTAAAATACTAGCAGTTTCAGTGTGGCGTTATAATGCCATGCTGTACATCATTCTTTATTGGCTTCTTATTTTGTCTGGGAAAGAAATTGCTAGTGCTGTAAAGTGGGGTATTGAGTGTTTGCTTCAGTGATCATTGCATATTGAAGCAGGTGCAACCTTTTCCTTTTGATTGATGTAAAAAATGGCATCGATATCATTACATTTATTTTTCTCTTCAAGACATTTAAGTCATTTTCATAAACTGATGAAACTGTCGCATTTGAAAGGGTATAATAGCTTCCCTCCTCATGAAAGTTGAGTCAATCTTTTGTAACATCAAGTGGTAGTATTTTCAAAACAATTTAATTGTGCTTGTCATGGCAATTGTGAGAGATCTTGTGTTGCATAATTTGTTTCATGGGCTACAACATCCAGTCTCAGACTTGGAGAAGGAAAGTAAGCAGAAGGCGCTTAAAATACCGTATTTACCTACATCAGTGGGAAAGTGTGTGACTTTGATTATGAGTAAGACATACCAGGGGAAGAATATTGAACAATATTTGTCTAGCCATTTTTTAACATTGAAAGTCCCTACAATTTGTTATGTAGTCATAAAATCTTGTTTTATTTTTATTGTGTTAGGTTGTTTTGTTACAATTTTGTCCTTCCTTTCAAATATGATTTTTTTTGTTGGTCCTTCGTTAAAATTGTATGTTTTTTTATACTGTGCAGATTCCAAATGCCATTCAAATACATTTCAGTCCAATTTTCTTCTTCAAGTGAGAATGTGTATTTAGAATTGGGGGGAACCCAGCCTCATTCAAAATTATGAATGTTATTAAATTTGTTCTTGTTATAGGTGTGTAAATACGGTATTTTGTAATTTTTTAAAGTGAATACTGTGGTTAATATTATTAAAACACTGTATAACTACTCAGGGCTATATAATATACAATTCCCCTCCCCATTAATCTTTGATTGTAAGGGTGATTGACAGGGACTCTTGCTTTATGATTACCAGTTTGCCATGATGGTGTATTACATTGTGAGCTTTGAATGGTGGAAACATCAGCTAGTGAAATTACAATACATGTTGGTTGTATTGAATAGACTGTTTCCAATGTGTGCATGAAGAGAATTTCATTTCAAAAACATTGTATGGCTTAATATGGCAAGTGTCATAGTGAGTCCACATCGTAACCCATGCCAAGATCTTTGTATGAAAAACTACATAGTAAACATACATACCTGAATGGTAATAGTTTCCTGAAGTAGGTGTGACAAATTAAGTAGGCATGTCAATAGTTGTGTCGAGTATGATATTGCCTGATGACATCAAATGGGTCATACATTATTCATCTTTATCACATGAAATGTTTTTGGGTGTTTATTATTCTGCTCTACTTTTTCTACAAGATTATATCTTAAGTGTATCATTTGATGTAAACTTTTAAGTTAGTTTATGAAAATCAGAAAACTACCTTAAATTCTTTGTACATTACATTGTTTTCCATGGTATATCTTGTGACATTATAGCTACTATAATCATTAATCAGTCATACAATAAAATACATCAGACATAATCAAGAACTGAATTTAAAAAAAAAAGTATGCAAAATTAAATACGATTTACCAAAGGTTTATAATAATTTGAAAAATGTTATAATTAAACCAGAACACTTATATAAAGAGATTTATGGCTCGAATTTTGCTGTTCTTTCTTTTGTAACGTGTGTGTGCGTATGTATGTTTTATGTTCTTGTTTTAGTCTGTCTAGTCTAAAAAAATCCTGAAACAGTAAATTTGTTTTGAGGGATCCAGTCTTATCCAGCATTCAGTCTCTTGATGTATTCTAAGTTAAACTGAATTGTGAAATGAGAGAGTGTGTTTCCTTATTAAGACTTGTTACTTTTTAGTTTCCAAGGACATTGACATCAAGTGTGCCAGAATAAGAATTTGTGTGACGCTGTGCATAGAAAATGTGCATAGTTACTTTTTTCCTTCAGATACAAGTGTAAGTTTACGTGTGCAAGCGCGTGTGTGTGCATATAAATATATATATGGTATTATGCTAAAATGCAGTGATTGTGAAAAATCCAGAGTTTATAAGCATGTATGATTAATTTTGCATCAAAGAAAGCATTAAAACTGAAATGTGAAAGCAGAGTAAACAACTTCTTGTGGAAGGTGCAGCACAGTCTATACTTACTTTGTGTACAAATTTGGGAACGTTCATGTTTTAGAGGTTCTAGAGATTTCTTCGTGATTGAAATGCCAGTTACACCTTTGGTTGGAAAAAATAAGGAAGTAGTAATCAGTTTACAAAATAGACATATCAAGAATGATAACAGTTTAATTTTAGTACCAGAGCATGGTGTATTTTCGTAGGAAACACTTAAATATGCAGGTGATACGTTATTTTGCAAGTAGTGTAAACGCCAGTGCTGAATACTAGTTGCTAAGTTGTACCTGAGAACCATCAGACATAATCTTGATATTTTTGCAATGGTATGAGTTATGTTCCAAATTGAAAAGTTCCATAATTCAAACTTACGGCTACAGATTTCCAAAAACCTTCAAATATTAAAATCGAGGAATGAATTAAAAATCTTTTGTGATGTTCTGTCACATTTCTTTGAGAAGTGTTAACTGTGTGTGTGTGTGTATATGTGTGTGTGCACGTGCATGGGCACGCACCTTTGTAAAGATGTCACGTTATTGTTGGATGACGAGACATTCCATCAAAATAGACCAAATCTTTACATAATTGATGCAGTTGTAAAGTCAAGATGGTTTATGAAACAGCTGTTATTCCTAGTGTTTCAGACCTCATTGAACCGAGCTATGAGAGTTTGAAAGCACAAGTTTAGTATGTTTTAAGAATGGTGGTAATGATCTTAACTAATTCTGATGTATGAAGGTACATTGATCTTTCAAAGTTCAATGATCATATGTGACAGGTAAATAATACCTTGAATGGTTTATTGAATAAGTTTAGATAAGTTGCTGTTGAGAGAGAGTGATCCTCTTCCTGTGTTGAAATGGAAAACCTTAGTATTTCTGCAAGATGTTGAAAGATACAGCTATGGGGTTCTGACAACTGTTTACTACTCTTAGTCATGTGGATTTATCTTTTGTTCAATAATATGGAATGTTACTGAGAGTTGCTTGTATGAAAGAGTCAGAATATGAGGTGAAATATAGACCTTTTGTAATACCAGTTATCTTGACTGATACCATACATAGGAACTCCATAGCAGAATTCTTTATTTTCTTCCAGGCTCCTAACTGATTGAGGATGATTTAGTATTAAAAGCAACTTTGTAACATGTTATTTTGAAGATTAGTTCTGGTCACTCGCCATCATCTTCCAAGAAAGTGCTTTATTATGTTTTTAATTTTTGTTCCATACCTTTTTATAAACTTAACATTACTGCTAAAACAAGAAACACTGAACATAATATGGTGCTTCATTACTAAAAGCACTATATCTGTGATATTAAAAACTCATGTAGAAAAAAAAATTAAATAAATAATGACATTGAACAGTGCTTCATATTTGTTCACCCAGTCACCCATGCTGTTCAGTTATCCTGCAGTTTATGTGTTTCATTTTTTATATTTCTCACCTGTACTGATGAAGTGTTTAGTTTGTTACATTCTGTTATGTGACCAAATTTGATGTTAGTTGTGTAAATGCAAAATTTGTCAATTTTGACTTGCATTTGACATAAGCCATTAGTGTTACTATTGCTACTAGAAAAGTGCTGATATTAGTGAGATATTTGTCTGGCAATGTATGGCCCTGAAGTTGTAAGCTGGGCTGCTACAGCAAGTTCCACTGTTTCAGCATTTCAGATCATCTGGAGGGCTATGATTTGCCAGTAGTTTAGCTGGCTCTTAATTGTGCATATGTTTTCTTCCCATATTTACTCATTAACTTGTTTATCCTCATTTCATTCACATTTTTTGTATGGGTTGTAACTTCGATTATATTCAAAGCACATAAACTGTGAACAGATGTGTTGAGGAAAGTGGGCACCGTAGTATGGTTTTCATTGCTTTGGCATTGGATTTGTAGGCTTTAATCCTACTGCAGATATTTATTTCTCATGTAAGAGACTCGAATGTCTGTATTCATAATTTCAGTATCCTGAATTAGAATAGGCAGAGAGCCTTATTCATGAAAGAAGAAAATTAAATGGTCTAATTTATTTGAGTAATGAAGAGTATGCATAACACCACCACATGAGAATGGTCAGAGTTGAGTTGTTTTGGCAGATCGTGAAATATTGCAGTGGTGAGTTGTTTACAACTAGGCATATGAAAACTACAAGAAACCTCAAACAGAAGAGATACAGCTATTCCACCATGATTATCACTTGTGTTGTGCCTTATAGTCTGCTAGTAGTTTACCCATGTTTTAGACTTACTGCATCCATCATCAGGGCACCTCTCAAATGTTTGTTAATTTCTACTAGACTAGACTGCACAACCACCCAAAAAACAGCCATTCTTACTTGCTGGCATAAGAACCTGAAATATCACTAAGAAGTTTCTCTCTTGTTTTAAGGATTATGCCAATGGTCTGTTCAGATTCTGAATGTCTGTTGTTTTGTTAGTAGGTCAAGATTTTTTAAACCTCATTGTATTGAACAGCATATTTAGGTAAACTTATAAACAGTCATTCCCTGTCTTCTCTAGGGTTCTTAATCTTAAGCTGCATGTTTTTGTCCTTTTCTTGGTTGACTACAGGTGTCAATAATCTTAGACATTGATTTCTTTGAAATTTGGTACAATAAAATGCTGTTTGAGGCCTGCAAACCTTTGTACTTTTTTAACCCATGATGAAACTGAATGTCATGACTGGTAGCACTTGTTTCATTGGGGGTTTCCTGGTTTAAAGCTCAACCCAGATACCAGCTCTCATGACTGATTTATTTTATGGTTTTATCTCACCAAACAAATGCTGGGACAGTACCTTAAAATATATCGACTGCTTTCCATTTCCAAATTCATAAATCATCCAGTCAGAAATACTATATAGCATTGAGCTAGTGGCAGTGTTATATAAACCACAATAAAAAACCAACCAATGGTATCTGTTTAATTTACAATAAAACACCCAGTCTTGTATGAAAACGTTTATTATATAAGTTCACTGTATTTAGATATGAATGAAGTGGTGACAGTTACAAGAATATTGCTGTAGGTAATCAGATTATTAAATTGAAATTACCATTTCCAGTCACTTGCAAGCTTTAATTTTTAGCAATTGGTAATACAGGAACATCATTCATTGGAAACAGTTTACTTATAATGGGTACATCTGTGCAGGCTTCAACTCTACTGAGTTCCCACTTTGTATGTACTGACCATGTGCACACAAAATGGCTACCTTGACTCCTTGAGGTCGGGACACTGATCTAACAATATTTTGGTTTCTTTGCCAAGATTGTCACAGAAAGAGTTTGAGAGCGAAGTAGAAATCGTATTCATGTTTTCGTAGGCAGAAAGAAGTTGCTAAACCACAGTAGTGTTTGCTGTTTGAGTAATAGGTTTATAAAAGGTTAACATAGATTATGCAAAAAAGGACGTGTGATCTCTTCTTGGTTTAATTGTGCTACTTCTTCTTTGTGCGGAATTTCGTGTTTGCCAGGATATTAATTTAAGTATTTAATTTTAAAATGGTTTCAACAAGAATTGTCACGTGCTGCACTAATGTATTTGATAGTCATACGCCTTTGTGCTAACCTAACCTGCTTTCCAGCGCAGGACTGCAAAAAGAGCACACTCTTTTATAGCATAGCTAAGTAGCAAAATCCGGTGATGGAAGGCCTCTTAGGCAGCAAAACAGTTGGCATAACCCAACCTAAGGTGAGTACAGAAAGACAATTTATGCTGTGAAATGATTTTGTTCTTGTTCCTTAAGACACCATAATATTGAGCCATCCATAAGTTGAATGTTAATTAATTTGCAGTGTATCTCTGTTCCTTCACTGGTTATTGCAGGCACTTATATTTAATATGAAAGTATTGCAATGTCGAATACATTCCAATGGCTTATTAAATTTTGTATGTTATAAAAACCAAGAATGTTCTATATAAGAATGAAACTTAAAAACCCTGGCAAACTGTATTACAGCTGGCCATTTCCTGATTTTGTTGAGTTTTAGGTTACTGGTCAATGCTGTTCCAGCTTCGTGTGTTATATAGTGTTGAGCGAGATGGAAAAAATTATCATGAATAGTGAGCAGATGATATAGAAGGAGGAGGTCTTGATCTAGTTCAGTGTACTATTGCAACATTTATGTGGCGAGAGAGAGGAAAAACCAGTAGACTGGCAACCTGTCTTGATTCTGAGGAGATAGTATTGTGCTTGGGATCATGGGTGCTGACATTTCATAATTTTAATCTAAAAGAATTCAAAATGCAGATGGCAATAAAGAGATGGCACCAGACATGCTAAAAAATATTTTATTCTGCTTTGGCTTGGATTACTATGTAGTAACAAATCAAAATTGTCTTTTCCTGCTTCTGGTAGGTATTTTTATTGTTATGACACATAATGTGGTAAGCCTACTTTAAATTAGTTCTCACAGGGAGGGAGAACTATGTCAACTTTTTATACTAATGTTCTTTTAACTGTACAGGGCAGTGTAGTAGGTGTTATTGAATTTCTTTGTTTTCATGTGTGAGGAATTGATCACCATATGTGTGTACAGACACCAAATCCTGATCTTATGTATACAATGCCCCAAATGAATCAGATAAGCTGTGCTAATTCATAGTCTGGCATATCCGTGTATTGACAGTTTTGGGGCACACTTGTGGGAAGTTCATAGCAGCATGTGTTCTTCAAAATGTGGAAGAACTGATGGAAAAGGTGGAAATTGTAGACACCAAGGAAGGTGAGTTGGTAATTACATTTACAGCAGTTTTCTTCTTGGCTTTGACTCTGATTTCCAGTATTGATATGCCATTGGCATTCTTGTTACTGTAGTTTGTGCTAGTATTGACTCTTTAAAGTTAACATTTGCGTGCATTACTGAAGTTAGGTAATGAGATTCTATTCTTATTCAGGAAATAGGTTAGTTTACAGTGTTGGAAGACATAAGTTTTTTGAGGATTACCAGTACAGACTGAATACAGAATTGTGAATGGTAACACCAAACTGTTAAATGTGATTCCTTGCTTGAGGGAAATACAAATGTTTGAAAACAGTGTCCAGGAAAATATTTGGGCACAAAAGGTATGAAATATGAAAATTTTTAAAATATTATATCATGAGGAAATGTGTGATTTAAATAGGTTACCAAGTATTGTTAAGGTAGAGGCATATAGGTTATGTTGGGCAAAACATGTTGCTTACATAAAGGAGAAGAGAAATCAGTACCAAATTTGATGGGGAAAGCTCATGAAAAGCAGTTAACATAGAAGACTGGGAAAGAGGTGAGAGGATAAAATGACAATGGATCTTAGGAATGTTGGTTGAGAGGCTGAGAGGTGAATGGATGTAGTTCAGGATTATGTCCAATGGCAGGGTTTGGTATTAGCAGATTTGAAACTTCATAAACCCAAGTTTGATTAGTCTTGAAAAGTTTATTATGGAATACTGTGTATAAATGTTGTCGTACCTTTAAGTAGTGGTCCTTAAAATGAAGTAAAGGAATGCATGTTACATGTGGGAATATAATAAAGGAGTCATGTATGAAATTTAAACAGGAGTGTTAAAAATTTCAAAAGATGTACATGAAAGTTTATTTAGGCTCTTAACTGCAGTGTCTATCGAATTGAATTAAAGTGATTAATATAATAGTAAAGGTGTCAATTTTGAAGTAAAACTGTGTGAAAATAAAATAAAATATTGTATGCTTCAAAATTACAGCTGGAAAATCACATACATGTTTGCCCAAAGTTAGGTAGTTATGAAGTGGATTGTAGACAGTTGAGATACACAATTTTTTTATTTTAAACATTTTTGATATGGCGAATATAACAAAATCCTAGGAACATCATTTCTAAGTTAGAGCAGTATGATACATACATAGATTTATATATGCAGTAAATGAACATCTAGATCATTGAGGTATCCACATACCAAGGAACTACACAGAGCAGAGTCCTTCTTGGATGGTTTATTACTCTGTTCACAAGATTCCATAAAGAAGTTTTGAGTCCTGATTGCATTTTCTGAAGTCAAGCCTCAGTGGAGTAATCAGATTCCATTACGACAAACAAACGTGACCTCTCCAAGAAGTTGCCCTGCCGTCCCCATTAACCAATGTCAAATGACGCCTACTCGTGTGGAAAAATCTGAAGCACTACGGGTTTTCGTGTTGATTGTGTCGCGTGCTCTTTGGATCACAAAGTCGTAACCGTGACATATTGTTTAAAAGGAAATAGTCGATTTATTGTTCTGTGACACTAACCGCAATTTCCATTTCTTGGAAACGAATGACGATAGTAGGTATGTCATTTACGCTGCTTCAGCAATGGGGAGCTCTGTCGTGTCTGGCTATGACCCAGTGTTATCAGCGCTGTAAAAAATTTCTCTTTTAAAACAATGAATCCTGGTAAAAATTTAGCATGGGCTGGACTTGATTTACTAATGATGTCTGTGCGAAAAAAAATCTTCTGCCTTATAAATAAAAAAATTGTTCAGTGTGTATCTCTGAATAAAACACTGTTTTCCCTAAAATAGGGGTGAGCAATTATATTTTATTTGGTGACGGGATAGATTTCATTTCGTAGTGACTGCTGGCCAGAGAACGTCGCGGAAAAATAATTGCTGTCAAGAATTGTGAAATTATCCGCAATTACTGGTCAATCTTGATAAGTTGTATGATTTTATCGGGTTGCTGAGACACGCATTAAAAGTTTCTTACTTTTAAAATATTTCGACAGTGTGTTACGAGAAATTGGAAGACGAATAATAGACCTTATTATTATTATTCATATTTGAGTATCGCAGTGACCCGGATTGAATTTTTTTTCGGATCGTAAGATGATTTGACTGGCAATAGGCACAGTACTCGGGACGAATCTGTGCGTCACACGTCCATTAAAAGCAAAAAGCAAGGGGTTGGGAAGGGTATCAGATAATCATTATTTCCTAGCGGCAGTAATTTGTATCTCGCTGTTGGTTTTGGTTTACGTAGTATATGAGTTTTTTTTCCTTCTACCACTAGTTAGTGACGTAGATGAAGCGCACTGTTTTGTCCCGGCCACTGGTATATAAACATGTAAGGTGTGTGTATATGTATTCCAATTTATTTAGATCGCTAGGAACATGAACGTTTCCACTGTTCTGGACATTCGTTTGTAATTATTCAAAAAGGTATTTTTCGACGGGTGGTAAATGGGTAAATTCGATGGATACATATTGCATTTCCATGTCATAGTTACGGGACGGAAGTTGCTTTAAACAAAAACAAAAAAGTAAATACGTGGCATTTTCGTACTTCTGTGAAAGACATTTTACATGGGATAATTTTAAGCAATTCTGTGGCATTTTGTGGTAAAAGCGTTGTTGTACAAAACATTATAATGTGATTGCGATAAGTAACATTAGTATGCAGGTATCACCGACTTGCTCAGTCAATCTTAAGATGTTTAGAGAGGGATTTTCAATATGGCGTGAAGATGAGCGTAGTAAAACGAGAACGATCGGTTGATACTGAGAGAGGAGAGCGCTGAAGCGGACTTGCGCCGCGTGAGGTCTCTGGGTTTGCCTTCCAGCGGGTCGTTACAGCCTTTCTCATCTGGAATCGTGCAGTTTTGGGGTACACCAGATCATGGGTGTCATTGTCTGCTGTGTCATTCTGTGTATAATCACATTTTAAGGATTCGTTAAACACTGTTTTACATACTACATTTTTACAGCTAATGTTTTCTTTTAATTGGTAAAACAAGTGTCGAAACGTGTATTAAATCTTACACGCAAAGTTCTTGATAAAAATCAAGTTTTAATCTGTGTTGAAATATATACATACTTTTTAAAATGTTAGCAGGTATAATATAAGAAAGTGCTGTGAACATTTTTACTGAGTGGAAACATTTATTGTTTATGTTAACTTATGTGTATATATAGGTAATCGTTGACGTGATATAGTTCTGTATATTCTTTCGATTGTAAAATCATGATTAATAATTTCGTTTGAGCGAATTGTTATTTTTTGGGAGACTGTAGAGTAATTTAAAACGTTTATATCAACGAATTTTACATTTCCTAATCGTCAATCAGTCTCACTTAAAAATTTGTTTTGTAGAATACCAAGTTTTAAATTTAAGTTTTCAGACAATTTCTTATTGACAGTGAGTCGTAATTAATGCTGATAAAATTGTTACTAATGGATTACAAATATAGAAAGCGGCAGAGTTATTGACAGGGGGAACGAGAGAATTCGAAAAAAAAATGTAAGTGGATCTTGAATCACCATAAATTCTCCACAAAATCACAATCTCGATCCCGTGTCCGCTTGCTATGGAGCCCGTACATTAAACAAAACAAAAATTCACGACGTGGTTAAGTGTTTTCGTACTGCTAGGAGGCACATATCATACATCCTGTACTAAACCGCACTAAAACAGCATCAGAAAAAGAACCATACTGTTTATCTGATAACTAATAAATTTACGTCACTGTGAATTTGACAGCTGATTACTACCGTACCTTTCTTTTGGATTCGAATATTCAATTCAATTCCTTTATTAGTGTTTACCAACAGGAAAGAACCTATGACAGGCAGACACTAAAACAAAAATACAAGCAAAAAAATTCAAATTACATACAAAAACAAATAACTACCAAACACTAATATAAATGTAAAACAAAAAATACTAAAACAATACAAAAAATAAAATCAGTAATCAAATTGAAACAAATAACCAAGCTAGATCCAATCTAGGCCGCTATCTAGATAATTTCTCTTAATGAGAAAGTTCCTCAAAAGAAACAATGTTTATGCCAAACACGTCCAAAAATTTACATACGTCATTTGCTGCAATGACACACCTGGCTGAAGGGCTATGTCTAAGCGCACTGCACACACAAAACATAGAAAATTCTCTTATTTGCCTTGACGGCACACGAAAAATGGAATTACAATTTATTTTACCCATAAATAACATTAATAAAATGCCGTCGTCTGGAATGAAGTGCTCTGAAATTTAAAGTAGTTAAAATCAATTCATATTTACGTGTAATATTAAACTGAAAAAACCGGTAATTGCACAAATATAATAATAATAAAACATATCTGTTTAGCATATTTTGAAATAACGTATCCTAACATAGGGCACATACGATATCGTTATGTTGTTCCAGGAGTGTTGTTTGAGTTGTATAATAAACAGTAAATTCAGTGAAGCAATTTAGGTAGACATTCTTTAATTTGAATAATGCTTCAGAATTTTCTTGATAGGTATACAGATGCTTTTATCATTCTGAAAATATTTAAGTCTCAAGAACAGTGATTTTTTAACTGCAGAGTAGAGAAGCAGACAAAGCAGCGAGTAAACTGATAACAGCTGTTACATTTCTGTGTACGATACTACAGTCTTTAAGCACAACACCCTCTGAAAAGTAATTGTTTCACAAAAATATAATTTAGTTTAATCTGTGATACCAAAATTGTCATCACACTTCTTTTGGCAGTGAATGCGAGTCTTTAAGAAATATTTCAGCACAAATTAAAACCTTGCTATCAAGCATCTCTGCAGTAAGAACATATTTACCCGTTTAAAAGAACAACATTATCGACAACTAACAATGCTGTCACAGGAATCTAAATTACAGGAATTTCTTTTTACCATCTACGACGAAATGGATTTTACGTGTGTTTTCCGCGCGTGTAACAGGAGAGTGCTCAGAAGTGAGAAAAGGCCGTGCTTGTTCTAAAGACTTTCCAACAGATGATGTCTCGGTCTACGTTGACCGGAACTGACTGAGGTTCGAAGGGTAGATGAAAGGGTGACACTCAGAATGAGACAGGCTGGCAATGGTGATAACGCCGTCGTATTTCTCGTTACCGTGAAGAGAACCAAAACGACAATGAGATGACTTGTCTGATGTGTCACCAGCTGGTGGTACATGTGTCGGGACCGCCATCTCGCGACCGCCGCCATAATTTAAATCGATTATTTATATTTTTTCTTATGTGTTGCTGTTATTGTACCGCGGTCGTGCAGCCATTGTTGCAATTAGAGGAACCAGAATTGTTACTGCAACGTCGTGAAACGTCTGCCCAACAGGACTATTATCGTGATGACGACGACCGTGGTTCAATCAACGAAGAAGAGGGAGAGGAGACTAATACTACGGGTAAGACGCGATATTAGTTACATTATTTGAGGTCGTTCATGTTAAATGGATGCCTTATCAACACAGCATGGCATAATGTGAGATGTACCATATAAAGACAGGTCCTCCCCCATGTAACAGACTATCCCAACCTTGTCACCCTTGTGGCTAGGCCGCTGCTCACTCCAGCTGCGCAAAAGTTGTGGTGTATGGTGCATTGGCGCTCAGGGCGGGTTTTTATTTTCGTACTTCGCATCAAAATCGTTTACTGCTCTCTGTGAAGCATTTCGTCTGCATTCATTGAAGACTGGTGTGTGGTACGCAGAGTCTCGAAGGGGAATTGTGGGACCTTTTTTTGATGCAATGCGGAACGGTATCTGTTTTGTAATTGAAAGGGGTTGCTGTCTTCAGCATGATGGGGCGATTGACCAAACTGCGAGAACAGCAGCTTTATTGCAAACTTTCTTTGGTGAGCTCATTTTTGGGCGTGATCTGCAGACTTTACCTCGCCAGACTTCGTTCTCAGGGAATTAAACAAAGGAAGTGTTTATTCGAATACCCCACGAAGCTTGGAGGAACTGAAACACAGCGTACAGATGCTTTTATAGTTAGGAACACTGAAAAGATCTGGAACGGACAGCATGGCTAAGGATAATATTTGAACATAAAAGCGATAATTGGCAAAAACGTGGATGAAATTACGCGAAAATCGTGGTGCAGGCTTTGTCTTTACCCATCGAGAAGTAATCTCACTTCGACGAATGTGAAGGTGACCATATTTTGGGATGTTACGCTGCTAAGTCTTACAAATTGGCCGACGTTTCAGAGGTACATATTCTCTTCATAATCATGGCGATCTCGATGTTAATAATGATGTACATTATTTAACTTAGGGGAAATCGAGATACGAGTAGGAAATATAATATTAGGATTGGCATACAAATGGACTCTTGATTTTAATATATGTTGATTACATTCGTGCCCAGTAAAGCCACACTGCAAGTATATATAACCTATGCAGATTTTACTTCTTAGGTGTAAATACAAATGTTCATATAGTCGTCTTTCGCTTTAATACAAAGAAGTGAAAAAAGGAAATTAATCTGAAGAACAGGTAGTGGTTTTACGTTTCTTGTAACATGAACTTGGAACGTCGAAAAACAGCTCGTTTATTTTATACAGGTTGTCCCTCTTAACGTGGAACCCGACACGGCAGCATGCCGCAGGAGCAGCGAGCGAACTGCCGGGAAATGACCCGGTCACAACGCAGAACATAGCAGTCGCATGATAGTAGGTGGGTTCCGAGGTATGTGGGACTCTGCCCGTTCAAATTAATAGGGCCTATCTGATGATCCGCATCAAACTCGACATGCTGTATGGTGGATCTACACAGAGTTTTCTAGAGCCATTTTGATTCTGGTGTGGTTTAGGGTATATTAACTTTAATTCATTTCAGGGGTATAATTGAACTCTTTGGCCCAAAATTTTCAGTCCTTTGATATACGTCGTTTGATGTACGAGTACTGCAAAATGATTTTCAATTCTTTAAGGTCATTGTTATGTAAGAGACTAAAACACTCCGTGGTCGTATCTCGTAAAAAGAGCGCTTTTAATAGAGTCCATAAGGTGTGCACGTTGTTTTACAAAAAATGCACTGATTGTAAGCATGCAGTTGATATAATAGCAACATGTGTGAAGTGTGTACTATAAAAGGCGTTGTTCAAAGTCCTGTTATCGTCGTGCCGTGTACTGTATGTGCTTGATGTAATGTAATGCTTACACGAAAATGATCTTTTTAACGTCATCCCACGTGAGTAGTTACCTGTTCCCGTTTCTTTCGTTATCGCAATACAATTCCGGGCAATGAAGTAGATCGATCATTCTTTGCCATTAACGGGGATCACGTTCCTGAAAAAAAAACTGCCGTTTAACAATACCAATATATTATGGGAAACTGAAGTCCCGTTATAGCCCTCACCCCAGGAAATATGGGTCTCTTGGTTTGGAAGCCACCGATGATGGTTTTGTGTAGGACAGAAATAAAAAGCTGCAGAGCATAAAACCAAATACCGCTGTTGACAAAACTGGATACGGATGAAAAACCACTGATACTTTTATCGACGTGGTGTGTGTATTGAGAGATTGCTTTATTGTAAAACAGAACTTAAATAACTATTGTTGTCTTCTGGGTTGTTGCGCCGTGGAGTCTGACAGACGTTTACGGACGTTAACAAAGGCAACAAGTACCTCTGAAACGACTGACGTAACAACCTAGAATACAACCATCTTCATACTCGTCGCCGTGAGAACCCGAATCTCACCAATTATAATATTTTGTTTTGTCAATAATATCACCAAACGATTTCTAAAATTGAAACTTGGATATGATCAATTCGCAAATATTTTTATTTCCTGAAGCACTGTCCGCTGTTGAGAGAGTCTCTAAGTCGCTCGTCAAATAAACCGCATTAATTACGAGCTACATTTGCGCATTGCGTTCAGATTTTTTTTTTCTGGTTTGGAGAAAGTTGCGCTGAAATCATAATGTGTATCTACGATGCCACAGTTCGCCGTTTTTGTGATTATGCTGTGAATCGTCAAAATGTTTGGGTAATCCCACTTCACATCTGTAATCGTTGCATCGTTTATTTAGTCGTTTCATATAGGCTACATGATGACACTAGTATAATAGAAGTCCAAAGGGACCTGCAACGAGTTTTATCAATATCTATCTAGAGACTCATAATGATACACGCAAATTTTTATTTCGTAGCCCCCCCCCCCCCTCAAACCCCGGTTGGACGTAGCGTAAGCAAACGGCGTTTACATGACACTGAACTTAAGTCTTATTAAGTTGATAACGTTCCTTTTAATGACTAATGCTTTTTATGTATTTTCCATCAAATGCAAGAGAATAATGTAAATTATATGGAGACACATTTTATACTTGGTCTTACAAATTTAAAATTTTATAGTAATTTAGGATTTCAATAATTACCTGAAGTTTCCATTAATCATGCTTTAGTTGCTATTGGATTACGGCGTTCTGTTCAAGGATTCCACAAGATAATTTTCGAGTTGTGTGTTGAAGAATGTTTGCACATAGGCAGCATTTCAAACAAAATCTGGTTTGAATTTGCCGAAAATTTGCACAAAAGGCATGTACTAACACATTTATCGATCGGATCTTTAGTATGCCAAGCTTTACCAAGTATAGCTTTATGCTTTATTCAGTGTTCCTCTTTGTCTCGGATGCATATATATTTTGTACATTAATAGTACAAGTCCTCAGAAAACACCCTATTTATGATTGAAACGCATTAAATATTTTCTATAAATAAAACCTTGAAGGCTATTTCGATTTGCTAAGTACCAATAGCACTTGAATGTGTTAAATATAAATAAAACGTTCTCACGGGGTGTATAGTTCACTGAAAAGGCAATAAACAACCTATTGAGTTCCCGTTTCTACTCGGAGTTCTCTTAAACTCTGCCGAAATAATTAAAATGCGTATTTATTACGTCAGTTCTGTGAATATATTTATGTTTGCCGAGAATGAAGACATAGGAAAGCAAATTGGTTTAAAAGGTAAGGGATGTGATGTCTCATTCGATTATTTATTGCCGTAGTACTGCCTGATGATCGCTCCTTAAGGTACAATTTGGCTGCACGCGACAGAGACAAGCGACAGAGTTACGAGACCGAGACTGGTCGCTTCCTGTCTGCTCTCTGTACAATCGTATGAAGTACAATTACGAGGGCGAGACAAAGACAGGCGACAGAGACAAAGCACAGGAGACCGCTCTCGGACCAGTAGTGTCTCGCGACGGGCTCAGGCAGCACGTGTGTTGTTGAGTAAAATAATGGCAGAAATTAAATTTACTGGTGACCAAGATGAGCAATTGGTAGAATTAGTAGCAGAAAACCGACCACTGACCACCGACAGAAAGATCCTTCTTCGCGTCTGGTTTTGAATATTGAACTCATAGGTTTTCTTTGTTTCTTTCGCAACAAATAACACAGCAACACATCTTCTTCGATTAACCTTTTTAGAAGAATTTTTGTACTCATTTTTTACAGAATATGTGCACGTATATCTCAACAAAACAAGCATGTCTCGGTCGTCACCTCAAAAGTGTGTGGCGACAAGCTGCGATGTGTCCGTCTCCCGTCTCTGTCGCCTGCCTCGGTCGCTTGTCTCTGTCGCGTGCAGCCAAATTGTACCTTTACATTAAACGGTTGCCAAATAACGAAGCAGATGTCATGTCTTTATTCTATGTCCGCTTGGCAGCTGGTCCAGACCAAAGACAGAGAAACAGAGAACGTTGGCGAGAACAAAATATTGACGAAAACTTAACTCAACACTTTGTTATTAATTGTACTTAACTGATCTTATGTTGTGCTTTACTCGCAAAACTGTCGCTCCAGTGTCTGATCTTAGGACTCTCCTGGATATGTCTGTGAGTGCTAAGTGAACGAATGTTGACTGATGTCGTTGAATGACGTTAAATCAAAAGACAATGTTCCTTCTAACTGTGTTGGTTGACCATGGGTTGTTTAAAAAGATTCTGAGGAGCAGAATATGAGATGGGCCGGACATGTAATTGCCATATTAATTAGAGCGGCGTGAAGAAGTGGTACTCGGCCCTTAAGTAAATATTTGGTTACTTCCGACGCACGGAATCTGAGATGAACACCGCACAGCAGTTGCGGGTTTATTGCCGACGCATGCGCAGAGAGAAGTCTCTGGAAATTCGTTTTGTGGGCAGTAGGGGTGACTCGGATAGCAACTCGGTTTGGCCTACATAGTACGCAACCCTTCCTACAGTTCCAGATCGATCCAGTGCTGCCACCGCCGCCACAATAATTGCCCTTCTCCCCATTCCCTTTCCAACATCCATCCCTGTTACATGACATTAAAAACAGCTCCGACAAACATAACGGCGACACGATTATGTTCCTAACTCCGTTGAGATTTGAAGATAAATGACACTGTGTGATGTAAAATAAATTTAAAAGC